TTTGTGTGGAAATAAAATGGCTCCGTCCGTGTTAAAATATATTTTGAAAAATGATAAAAACTAAACAGCCTACAGTATTTTTACTGTCTTTACTTAACAGTTAAAATATATGTTTATTAAATAAAGTCTAATGGTACAACTAAACGTGGATCCCTTTAATGGTTTAGTCCTCAGTGGTTAATTGTCAAAAAAGTTGTTTTACAAAACAAAAAGTTATCGGAGAGGAGTTCAGCCAAACACGTCTATTCCATGTGATGCGCAACAGCCCCTTCCACCAGAACGGTTTATTGAACTAAACTTCAAAACTCTYCGGGATCAGCTGCCCTGTGGACGTTAGTTCTACATGTCAGGAAATAGAGTCAGAAAGCAACAATGTGACTGAGGAGAGTCTGGAAGAGGCAAGATCTGGAGAAGAGCTGGCAGTGGAGCAGACGTTTGATCCAGTGCTTTTGGTAACAACATGAAGTTTCCACAGTAATTCTGCTGAGTGCCTGCCTATGAGCAAACAGTCCCAGGACACAGAAAAATAAAAATTAACCAAAACTTTATTAAACAATATGTTGACACTGCAGTAAAAAGAAAACATAAAAAACAACCAAAGAAAACAGGAAAAGRCACCCAGCCACTAGGAGAAGGAAACAAACCAAATACAAAGCAGGTACCAACACAAGGAATAAGAATCCAAGAACATTTTAACAGGTAGGGGTGATTATAATGACCAAAACCTAATTAATAGAAACATTCAACCTAACATAGGAAAATGTAAAACAACAAAAAGAATGTCCATTAAGCTAGAATAACAGAAAACAATGTCAATAAAAACAAACACAAAAGCCCAAGTTCATTCTAGAACAAATTCTAGAACATATTTAATTTTTCAAAGYTGTTGGGGTCCCAACTGTTTGAAAACTGCAACATACAAATAACTAAGACAGCTTTTAGCATTTCATGAAAGCCCCTAATAATGTCTCCAAAGTCTTTACATTTTCTGACTAAAAACACAAAACCTAAATAAGAAACACTTCAACAAATACAAAAATTAAATAAAAACACAAGTAGCTGCAAACACATACTAGTCATTTTCTTTGTTTTGATAATTAATTACATGCTTATTGAAATCAGTTACTGTTTTTGTTTAATTACTCATTTTGTCTGTAGTACAGAGTATTGAGTGTGTATTGTTGCTTTAGATGAGAAAACTGTCCACATAAGTCAGTTTTGCAGATAGACTCWAGTGAAAAAGGTGCATTGTTGAAAAATTGAAAACAGGAACAATTCTTGGAAATCAGAATGAATGGCTATAATTTTTATATGTGACAAATGGCAGCCAARAACCTGCTGTACACACTGGTATCATGGTGCATTTAACACGGTCAGTGGTGGGCAGTGCTAATTCAAAAATTAGCTCRGCAATTTATAAAGTGCTTATGAAAATATTTAGGTCCGCAACTTCAAAAGCGCTTGTGCAATAGAAATATTAGCAGAAGCTAGTTTTAAACAGCAGGTTCAATTTGACACTTCCTAGCTGGCTACAAATCATGTACAATATATGTACAACGCTGCCCTCTAGTGGTGTATGAACCCTTGTACAACTTGTTTTACAACCGCCGATTGCTGGGGATCGGATTTCCTCAAACAGAACTTTGGCTCCTGGTGTAAAAATTAAAAAGTTGTTGAGGAT